GACCTAGGAATCCATTACCAACATGATCTATTCAGCAGTTAAGGATACCCGAAACTGGATAAAGGTGTATAAAGCTAATAATAACAAATTTATTTACAGACTTGAACATTATTTAGTAAGAAAAATATTTTTAAAGCTATGTAAACAGTGAGTATAATGCTCTTTGATAAATAATAGTTTGAAGTCCTCTTCGTTTGAAGTAAACTATAATCTACATCTATATGGTACCTGCTTTTATAATCCTGCTAACTAAGGAATTAATTTGGAAATAATAGGTGCATCCAAGACTACCCTGAATTTTAGTTACAAAACCGTATCAGTGATGAAGATTTAAGAAAACCTTATGTTAATGGTACTTAGCTCAAGAATAAACAAAAGCCAAACAAGATTTGAGAATGAATTTACCTGCAGAAACCAAACTAAAACAATTGAGAAATATTATATTTTAGCCTTCTGAAGAACAAAATTGCTGAACAGCTTCAGATTTCTCTTGTAATGCAATAGAAGTCAAAAAACAAACAAACAAACCACAGACAGTATCTGCAGATTCACTTTGGATTTTTTTACATGAAATTGTGTGCTTGCCACAAAAACTGCACAAAGCTATTCTATGATACCATGATTACTTGCAAACAAGACCATGTAACTTTCATCAACTTAAGGACTATTGAGATGGATTTGAAATTTTATAGCTTGTAAAAATCCATACAATCAATATCATTTATGTTGACCAAGTAAACAACCATGTCCAATGTAACCAGGAAACAGCAGCCAACCAGAGAATAGTCTTCATTTAATCAGAAATTCATCAGTTGTGCATGAGTAAGTAGTAAGTAAGTAAGTAAGTAAGGACGGGGTGGCTAAGACGCTTAGCTTGTCGATCGAAAGGTCAGCAGTTCAGCAATTCGAATCCCTAGTGCCGCCTAACGGGGTGAGCTCCTGTTACTTGTCCCAGCTTCTGCCAACATAGCAGTTTGAAAGCATGTAAAAAATGCAAGTAGAAAAATAGGGACTACCATTGGTAGGAAGATAACAGCGTTCCATGAACCTTTGGCGTTCAGTCATGCCAACCACATGACAACGGAGACATCTTCGGACAGTGCTGGCTCTTCAGCTTTGAAACGGAGATGAGCACCGCCCCCTAGAGTCAGGAACAACTAACACATATGTGCGAGGAGAACCTTTACCTTTACCTTTTAAGCAGCTATAGAAATCAAAATTATAAACTAGGTCGAAGAGAAGGACATTGCATGTTGACTTTATTTCTTTCAGTGTGATACTGTTTTATCTACTGTATGTTCACCATGCAAAGTTGAGTGGCAGGAACACAAAGTATGAAGTTAGTGAGTGCTTTCTTGCAAAAATAGAGATGGAAAAGGAAAGCAGTAGCAAGAAGAGCCTCTCATGGAACTTGACATTCTTGAACGACTTTTCCTTCTAAGTGGGAAGAGAGTATACTTCAAACTCTTAAGAACACACACACTTGATCAAACATAATTTCAAATAAATAATAGGAGAGCCTTTTGGTAAAAAGAAAACAACTCATTAGAAAAGAAATGAAAATTTAAGGAAACCCTTTACGAGAACTAGTAAAGTAATTAGAAAGTGTCCATATTATTGGAATTGTGATATTTGAGATTCATAAGATAAAAGTGTGGAAGACAAGCTGCAAAAGACAACTACGTTAAGAAACAGAGAACTTTCTTAAATCTGCACTACTTGTTGGTTATTCTGACAATGGCAATGGCTCTTGAAGAAACTTTACAAATTGCTAGATTTCTGATGTTGATCTTCCTATGACGTATGACAAATATATGATCGATATAACATCAAACTATACCTTATCATTTGTTAGTCCATATTTTACAATGTGTATAAGTAATAGTTTTTTTTAAAAAAATCTTACTTCATTTTTTCAGACAACCAACCAACCAACCTACCAAACAAACAACCAAACCAACCAGATCTTAGAAAATTATAGCATGTAATCAGGTGCTAAATGAAATTGATCAACATTTAGGGTTGCCTAATCATTCCTTGAAAATAAGAAATTCAGACACTGCTTACTTAATTACTGAAATGCAGTCATAGGAGAAAACAGCAACCTTTTCAGTGACAATGTGTGATTTATAAAAAGCTGTTGTTCAAATTTAAAAAAACACACCTGTTTATAGTTGTCTGAGTGGCTTGAAATTTCAGCAAAACAATGGTTAAAACCTAAGTAAGTATCACATCAAGCTTACCTGGGTGTATACTGTAATCATGTAACAACCAAACCTTTACCTATCAGTTACTGTAGAACAGGAGTATCAAACTCAAGGATCGAGGGTGAGATGGCCCATGAAGTGCTTAGATCTGGCCCGTGGGGCCAAACAGGAAATAGTTAAGGACCAGCCCGCGGGGCCTCTGCCAGCAAAAACAGAGTCCATGACGGGTGCATGTGACCCTCCTGAGCTCCGTTTTCACTGGCAGAGGGTTGTAGGAGGCCATTGCAGCCAAAAATGGAGCTCACAAGGGCCGCACATGGCCCCCTAGCTCCATTTTCGCTGGCAGAGGGTTGCAGTCGCAGTCGAAAATGGGGCTCGGGAGCCTGTTTTTGCTGGCAGAGCGCTTGGACTACCACACGACACAAGTGACATCATGCTGGCCATGCCTACCCTGGCCCCACTCACCCCAGCCCCCCCAGAGGTCAAACACAACACTGATGCGGCCCTCAATGAAATCGAGTTTGACATTCTATATGAACTTCTCCATGACGAATTGGACGACTTAAAACAAATAATGTGTCCAGCACAGAAGAATGTGTTCTGTGTACTTTCAGGTAACAGTGAAAACAGTTGGAGTGCTTATTCTGCTACTGAAATCACAGCGTAAGTTTTACAGTTTGAAAATAACAGGAAATAGCACAGAAAAAAGAAAAACAGAAGGAGAAACAATGATAAGCTATTGCAACTTTGCAATCTCTTTCAACGGAATGCAAAATGGACCCTTCTTTCTTTTCTTTCTTTCTCTTTCTTTCTTTCTTCTTTCTTTCTTTCTCTTTCTGTTCTTCCTTCCTTTCTTCTCTTTCTCTCTCTTTCTCTCTTCTCTCCTGTCCTCTCCTCTCCTGTCCCCTCCCTTCGTCTCCCCTCCTTTCTCTCCGCTCCGCTCCGCTCCTCTCCTTCCCTTTTTTCTTTTTTCTTCTGATTCTAAATTGATACAATTTACAGCACTATCAAAAATCAGAAAAAACACATTCTGACTATGATAATCAAAGATTTTAATGTTACTTTTATTGATTATATTATACACAGCAAGACATCCTCTCAGAGGGAGATGGGCAGTTAAGAGATATAATAAACGAAAAACAAATGAATGAATAAATAAATAAAAATAGGCATTAGCTACTTAGTGATACTCTAAAAATGGTTCCTCACTACACATGGTATTTTGTATAGCAGTTTGTATTCCTACATACAAGATATATACTTGACTTTAAATATTTGTGAAATTGGATTTGACATTCCCTCAAAATCTTTCAGTCAATCAATCAGTCAATCAGTCAATCAATCAATCAGTCAATCAATCAATCAATCATACCAACCAATCATCCAATCAATCTCAACACACTGTAAAGATATGAAGTAAATTGGAAAGCTCTATCATATCTTCCAGGATTTTCTTTAACAATTATTTGCTGGAGTGATTTGTGTGTAAAATCTGGCACAGGATTCAGCTGTGTACTCAAAGATCATTAAGAAGTTAAGAAGGCATGGATCTGTAAATATGGATGTGAAGAGCTTCTAGTCTAGAAATCTAAAACTATCTAACACTTTTTCAAATGTCTCATTAAAGCATTTTTTCATCTGCTTTATTCTACTAGTTTCCAATGCCCATATTTTTCATGTTATAATTCTACTGATACTGTTATCTAATTAAATCTTTTACTGAAATAAATAAGATTATAATAATTATTCATATAAATAGGAAAGTAATCATGCTATGTATTTTTGTGGGGATCCTAATTCCCATTGGGATCAAATTTAGTCTCTGAAAATTGGTACCTAAATTGCTTTCTAAACTATATCTAAAACTGTTGCCATCTTATGTATTGCCTAATACTGTATGTATAAACCCTATTAAATGAAAATTTAATATTTTAAATTTATTTGTGCCCGTGTAATTTAAAATGGGTTGAAAAGTACATTAAAAAATACAAAAAAATGCAAATTTGCTTTATTTCAAATTTCAGTGTATCACTTCAACTCTCAATCCTTACTGCTTGGCAATAGGAGATGCTAGTTCAATCTATTTGAAAACAAAATGACAGGCAGCATCAGGTCAGAAAAGACACATCGTGGATTTTACAAATGAAGCAAGCAATCTAAATTCTAGATGATAATGTTTCTTTTTCCTGGAAATGATGGGGATTCCTCTGGATTTCTGAACAAATGTAGATGGCATTATGATCAAGTACAGTATATAACATATATTCCAATAAATATGTAAGGTGCAAACATATTTGTAAGGAAAGTAAATTTGATTAAACTCTGCAGGGCAAGCAGATCCAATAGTTTATGCCCATTGCTAGTATGATGTAAAGAACTTCTTGTTCTTCAACCTCAAACATTACATATAACAATCCCATAAAGAACATAAAGTATCTATTTTGTAATTATAGACGGCAAGGAAACAAGGATTTTCAAGAGAAAACAGAAATACTTGTTCCTCTTATTATGTCAGCAAGTTGCTCTTTTCCGTAGAAAAAATGCTCAATGTTCCAACAATGTTCATCAAATAAGAAGTGCATAAATTATTGAAAGGCTAAACCTGGAACTTTTTCCCCTTCGACTCATCCATCCACCAAGTTAATTCAGAGATACTTGTTTCTGAATGGGCTTAGTCAAGTGGTTGAATTACAGACAGCGTAGCACAACGATCACTGCTACCACACAACACACTCTACAGGCAAACCTTAGGAATCTTGTTTGTGTTTTTGCTCTTTAACTTCCAGCTCTATTTGCAAAGAGCCATAAAGATTGTCACCATCAACCCTAACAGTTGCCATTGCAAAATGAGAAGGGAGCCAAAGCACTTGTTAATAAGCTAAAGACAACTGAAATGTCCACACGACCTGAAATAACATTAAGCCTTCCATAAATTCTCCAGGTATCAGTTGCTTGCTCCAAGGAAATATTCCCCACTCCTAATTGCTATATGGGATACACAGACAGAAAACAGAAGCGTCTAATTATGAAGCCCCAGAAGACTCATCTTTCCCGCCGGGAACATTGTCAGAGGTTAGAACATGAGATTGGGAGAACTCTTGCGATCTCTTTCAACAGGAATGCAGCTACAGGTCACAAGTAAGTTTGGAATAGGTTGCCGGAGATTCGGGAAAGGAAGATCAAAGGGGGCGATAGCGAAATGTACATCTCTTTAGCCTATTGGAACTGGCGGAGCAGAGGCGATCGAAATGGCAGCTTCGCCGGAGAAAACGCAAGGATGCGGGCAAAGAAAACAGTTTCCTTCCTTCCTTCCTAGTCACCCATGTGCCAGATATGTAATCCAAATGTGCACGTGTGTATGCAAAGATTGATCCTCGGAAGTTGGTGTTTGGTTTTTTTTTTTTTTGGTTGTTTTTTTTTACTCACTTTAAACTGTTGTATCTCCCCGTTTGTTGCTATTGCTATAGGTCGTACTCCTGCTGACTCTGGCCGCGGCCCAGGGAGTCGTCCTGTCGCCTGGCGTGTCTTTCTTTCCTTCCTTCCTTCCTTTCGCTCGTTCTTTCTTTCTTTTTTGCCTTTTGTTACCGCCTTGAAATCCAGGCGTTTAAAAGCTGCGTCCTGTACATCTGCGGACGCCTTACGCCGTGCTGCACAAAGGCTGCCTGCCTGAACGAAAGCCTAACCCCCATCGCCACAAAACACACACCCGGCTGGGGTGAGAGAGGAGGGCGGTGGGTTGGTAGGTGGGCGGGAGGATTATGCAAACGTGAGTCTGCGTGCGGATATGTGTGTGTGTGTGTGTGTGTGTGTGCGCGCGAGGGGGACGCGCAGGGGGCAGAGCCTCGTCCAAGGCCGGGCGAGGGGAGTGGGAAACGCTTCCTCGCCCAGAAATACAGAAGCTGCCCCGCTCCACGATTTGCTACGCTTCCTCTCCTGCCCTGACGGGGAGGTGGGAGTCGGGCTGCCCCATTGTCTCCGAAATCCTGCTTGCTGTAGCCAGCGTGTCTCCCGCCGTTCTTTCCCACGCCCTTCCTGCCCCTCAACCGTCCACCCGGCCACTTCTCCAGCCGTTCCCATGTGAGGTCGGAAGCCCCGGCTTCTCCACAGGACTGGGACGCGGAAAGCTGCGGCGGAAAAATAAGAAGCGCGCCCAAGGCGGGTGGGGAAAACAGAAGTCGCGGGAAGGAGCGAGAGGGAGATGGAGAAGAAGCAAGAAGGACTCGCGGTTTTGGAGCCCCTCGGCCCCCGCCGGCCGCAGGATTTGATTCGGCGTAAGCGGAGCCGAACACACGCAGCGGCGACTTTGCGGGGTGCCTCCCTTCCCAAAGAACGGGGTTGAGGGGTGTTTGTGTGCGTGTGATTCCGCTTGATGAGATGGTGGTAGAAAACCGTATCCGAATCGCGAATTTAATCAAAATTGGTGGCAAAAGAAGTGGAGGGAGGAAGGAAGGAAGGAAGGAAGGAAGGAAAGCAGGCAGGCAGGCAGGCAGGCAGGCAGGCAGAAAGAAAGAAAGAAAGAAAGAAAGAAAGAAAGAAAGAAAGAAAGAGAGTCTTTGAACTTGTACAGAGTGCATGTCCTGCCCATCCCCTTCTTGCCCTTTAGCAATAGCAATAGCAGGGATTTATATACTGCTTCACAGTGCTTTCCAGCCCTCTCTAAATGGTTTTACAGAGTCAGCATATTGACCCCAACAATCTGGGTCCTCATTTTACTAAACTCAGAAGGATGGAAGACTGAGTTAACCTTGAGCCTGGTGAGATTCGAACTGGCAAATTGCAGGCTGGCCGGCAGAAGTAGCCTGCAGTACTGCTTTCTAACCAGTGCACCACCAGGGCTCTTTAGAAACAAATTGGAAGCAAGAATTTGGGACACACAGTTCCTTGGCAGAAAGACCTTTGCATCTAGAAACCATGACCAATGAAGATGGAGGTGGCTGCTCTGAAAGGCTGAGTTTTAGAAATATATTAAGGCAGGTCTTTGCCCCAGTCTCTCTCTATCTCTCTCATACAAACATACTGGGGGTGGAGCAGTTGCAGCCATAACACAGCCTCCTTCCTGCCCCCTCCCCCCATGCTCTCATACTCTGCAGCTACTTGTTTATGGAAGAGTTGGTCAACAATGAAAGTACACACCAATGACCATTGTATGCATTTGCATTTGGGCTCAAGTGTTACAAAAAGGGTTGCATTTTCCTGGCAAATAGTCTCTGATAACCAATGATGTTCAAAAAGATGAAAGATAGCCACACTGTTCAGTAGTGATGTCAATTACCATTTGCACCATTCCATTCGCATAGTGCCTTCCCTTCTTAGATGGCAATCCCACCTCAATTCAACATTATTACTTCAGATAAAATATTGTCTACCTGTCAGGAAAATAACAAATTACAGCAGGGTTTCAGGAATACATTTCTCTGTCCTACCTACGCCTATTTATACACATTCTTCCTCTTGAGGAATTTTGTTTGGATTAGCTACAAACATATTTACACGCCTTGCTATTCCTTCGCAGGGTAAGCAGTGTGCAGAAAAAGAAGTATTAAGCAAAAAAAAAGGGCAAGAGTTAAGAAAACAGGAAAGGAAGTCCAACTAAATCTTGCTTACATCAGCCCTATTCAACATACTTCTTCATGCTTTTGTCTTTTTGTAAACCATTCATGCTTCCATCTGATCTGTAGCAATTCAAACACTATGCTACTTAAACTTCTACCTGATCACATAGCCATAATGACGTTGAAAGACAAATATTATTTGAATATTCTCTGATTTGTCCATTTAACATGAAAAAATGTTTTGATAAATTAGCATCAACTAAACATCATAAGAAATATATTTAAACCCTGAATAACTGATATGCTAACATGGGAATTCCAAAGCTTATTTACTTAAATGCTTGCAACTATTATACACAACCTAATAATATCACTTAATTTGTTCTTTAAAATGTAGGCATGAAATAAATCTATACAGGTAGTCCTTGACTTATGACCACAATTGAGCCCAAAATTTCTGTGGCTCAGTGAGACAGTAAAGTGAATTTTGTCCCATTTATAGCCTTTCTTGTCATAGTTGTTAAGTGAATAACTCAGTTGTAAAGGTAATTATTATTATTTTTTTTAAATTGATTTATATGCTGCCCATCTCTGGAGACTCAGGGCAGCTTACAATGCGTTAAGCAATAGCCTTCATGCTTTTGTATATTTATACAAAGTCAGCTTATTGCCCCCACAATCTGGGTCCTCATTTTACCTACCTTAGAAAGGATGGAAGGCTGAGTCAACCTTGAGCCTGGTGAGATTTGAACTTACAGTAATTGCATACAGCTTGATGTTAATAACAGTGCTTTAGTCTGCTGCGCAACCATGATTAACATGATTGTTAAGTGAATCTGACTTCCCCACTGACTTTGCTTGTCAGATCATAAAAGATGATCACATGACCCCAGGACACTGCAACCCTCAAAAATATGAGTCAGTTGCCAAGCATCTGAATTTTGATCTCGTGACCATGGGGATGCTACAATGGGCATAAATGTGAATAATTGTCATCTGTCACCTTTTTTAGTGCCATTGTAACTTCAAATGGTCACTAAATGAACTGTTGTAAGTTAATGTTAGGTATGCTTCCTTCGATATCCAGGAAAGGAAAACCCAAACTCAAACATTTTGAAGAGATTAGTACTTTTACTGAATATGAAATGATCGCAACCCAGGTAAAGCTGGAAGTGAGCAAAACGCACGAAATAGCATCTACTAAGCTTCTCTTCCCCCCGTGTCCATTGGTCATCAGCCAATCCAAAGGTCTCCCAAAGGTCAGGTGGCATCACGTCTGGCAGCATCATTCATCAGGAATGTAGGGCAGTTGGTCAGCCATTCCCTTTGAAGATTCACTTTCGATTCCTTGGAAGACACGTCCTACAATGAAAAAAAAAAAACACCTCCTGCATCTTCCCCCCCTTCGCCCCCATAACTAATCCCTCCCCCGTTTCTTATGGCAGCTGAAGCAGGCAAAGCTGAGGCTGACATTCGGCCCCTCTTGCAGAACAGACATTATTCCTAAATAAGAGGAAAGGAAAGAGAGAGAAACAGAATATATACAATATTTAAGGTTTATCTGGGTATTTGGTATAGAATTGCTGTACTTTCTTGGGAGCTCGGACATCCCGTTTATTCACCCATTCAGCCTGAGACAAAGGGAAATGTTTCCAGGAAATCAGATATTGGACTTTACCATGGTGTTTTCTAGAGTCCAAGATTTCTTTAACTTCAAAATGTTGCTCCCCCTCTATGAGAATGGGAATTGGAGGGGTGCTTTGGTCAGCCCTTAGGGGAGACAAGTGTTCAGGTTTCAATACACTAACATGAAATACAGGATGTATACGTCTCAACGTTTTAGGCAATTCCAATTCAACTGTTACTGGATTAATCAGTCTAATCACATGAAATGGTCCCACATACTTAGGCCCCAGCTTTTTGGACTTCTGGGTAGTCTGTAAGTATTTGGTAGATAAATAGACTTTATCCCCCACTTTATAAATGTGAGCTGGGGACCTTTTCTTATCGGCTTGCGCCTTATGAGCCCGGTGTGCCTCATCTAATGCCTTCCGAGTCACTGCCCATGTGCTCTTTAATTGTTCAATCCAATCCATCAAGGAGGGATTTTGGGGATCATCTTGTGGTAGTTCGGGAATTGGTACGAAATCCTGGCCTGATGCGACCTTAAAAGGGGTGAATCCGGTGCTACTGTGTACGGAATTATTATATGCCACTTCTGCAGATGGCAACAAGTCTACCCAATTGTCTTGCTGGTAATTTACATAACACCTCAGGTATTGTTCGAGCACCCCATTGGTTCTTTCACAGGCCCCATTTGTCTGAGGGTGGTGACTGGAACTTAGCCCCTGTGCGGAGCCTATCATTTTCAAAAACTCTTTCCAGAAACTGGAAGTAAATTGCACACCCCTGTCAGAAATTATTCTTTTCGGAGATCCATGTAGTCGGTAAATCTGCCGAATAAACAGTTTTGCGAGGGTTTTTGCTGAAGGGATCTTTGAGCAAGGGATGAAATGTACTTGTTTGGAAAACAAATCAGTTACTACCCAAATGACAGTGCAGCCCTCACTCTCTGGTAAGTCCACAATAAAATCCATAGATATTTCCTTCCATGGAGCGTTCGGTCTAGCCACACTTTGCAGTAATCCAGGGGATTTTCCTGGAGGTCTTTTAGCCGAGGCACATACTGGACAGCTAGCCACATATGCCTCTATGTCCTTTTTAAGTCCAGGCCACCAAAATTGTCTCTTAACAAGATGTAGAGTCTTGACAAACGCAAAGTGTCCTGCGGCCTTGGCATCATGAGCATATGTCAATACGGTTGTCCTTAAAGTGGTTGGAACATACAATTTCGATCCAACCCAAGCTAGTCCGTCACGAAGTGTGCATTCATTCGAGTGGTTCTTAAACCACTCGTCAATTTTTAGCGCTTCTTGCAATTTTTCGAGTAAATCCCCCGAGAGTTCTGGTTCGGTTTTACTCTGCGCTCTGGTAGTGACAGGTGTTGCCAATTGTGTCAAGGGGATCATTGGTTGAACCACTTCCTTCTTGATGCTGTTGTACTGCGGCAATCTGGAAAGTGCGTCCGCCATGAAGTTTTTCCCACCAGGAAGGTAACGTAAAGTGAAATTGAAACGTTTGAAATGTTGGGCCCAACGAGCCTGTTTTGGTGATAGTTTGCGTGGTGTTTTTAATGCTTCTAGATTCTTATGATCAGTCCACACCTCGAAAGGATGTTTTGCCCCTTCTAAAAATTGTCTCCATGTTAACAGCGCCCATCTAACTGCAAACGCCTCTTTGTCCCATATGGCCCATCTCCTTTCTGTGTCTGATAGTTTACGGGATGTGTAAGCACAGGGTTGTAATATCCCGTTTTCATTCTTTTGCAAGAGTATTGCTCCTACAGCTACGTCGCTGGCGTCAGCTTGTACTACAAAAGGTTGTTCCATGTCAGGGTGTTTGAGCACAGGTTCAGCCGCAAACAACCGTTTCAATTTTTCGAA